TTCTATATCATAAATGTTAATGAATTGTACTATGTCCAATATAAATAAATGGTACCTCATGCATTAGTGTGGGCATCTACAAGCAAAAATAAGTTAATGCATTATACATAGAGTATAAGCTTTAAATATTTTAAGTGCTTTTGATTACAAATAAGCATATACTATCTTCTTAAATGAGTCTATTAGAATTAGTTCAGATGTGTAATTTCCATAAGAAGTATGCTATCTATAAAATATAAAATGTCATTAAATAAAGTGTTATAAGAACACATATTATATATATTTTACAATTACTAAGTGAACTGTGTTAACTTTATTTAAATCTGTAATAAAATTTATAATTTGGCATAAGCACACTTGTTAAAGATAGTATCACAAAGTGCTACTCATCCAAAAATAATTACATGGTTCCAGTTCTTTGCAATTAATTACAAAAGCAATTATATGCAAGGACAGGGTAACATATGCTGTCTGGAAGTAAAGCATTTGGTACTCACAGATACAGATGGGTATGTTTGCAGACCATTGGTTATTCTCTTGACAAACAATGGATTTCTCTCCAATTAATTCAAACCCAAACTGGCACTCAAACCTTAAAACATCACGATTAGAAAACCCATCGCCTTCTCTAATTCCATATAAGGGTGTACCAGGATCGCCACAGCTTTCTTTCTCAATTTCTGTAAAATTAGAAGATAAAAGTCACCTTCCAAGAGTTGCAGACATATGATACATATACTACAAGTTTAGTAAATATATACTCTCTATTATGGAGATATTTCAGAATAAAAGATAAATATATTCCCCAATCCTAATTTGTTTTTCTTTTGCCACTCTTATGGATATGTTTTGAAGAAATGATCTTTAGGAAACATAATGTTGTATTAATATTTCTTCCTTTTTGTATGTGGGGAATCTGAGGTCATCAGAGCTAATGAGGTTGCCAGAGGCTATGTACCTAACAAAACAGTTATAAGAACTCAGATTTTCTGTCTGTACTACATATATACATACATACACACATACATTTGCATACATATATTTCCCCCCAAACCCAAAAACTTTCCTTATTCTTGCAACCTCTACACAATACAGCAAATCCTTGGATCATGACTAGGACATGAGAGAACATTTCCTGCCTCTATGCTCCTACATAAGTCAATTAATATCTCTAATCAAGCATCTGTTACTTTCTCTGGTACCTGTTGGCTAAATTACTTCCCCAACTAGATAAAAAACAAACAAACAAACAACAACCAAAAAAAAAAAAAAAGGCACAAAAAATGCTACTCAATGGGAGCAATCAATTTGTGTTCTAAATTATCCGAATTATTCAGCTGCACTATGTTCCTTGATAAATGTTTATTGAACGAATTAGAAAAGATTGAAAAAAATATTTAAGAAAGGCTGGATGCAGTGGCTCAACCCTGTAATCCCAGCACTTTGGAAGGCTGAGGCAGGATGGCTTGAGGCCAGGAGTTTGAGAACAACCTGGGCAAAAAAGCCTGTGTCTTTTTGTAGAGCCCATCTCTACAAAAGAAAATTAAAAATAGGAATATAAAAAAAAAT